TCTTTTATGGCTGTATTTTATCTTACACTGTGAATCCATTGGTAAATATTTGTTACTTTAAAGCAATGCCATAAGAAACATTCATTTTTGTATACTTTTATGTGACTTGGTAAAGTAAATACCAGAAATGGATTTTCAAGGTGGTATTTACAAATGTGATGGATGGACTGCCATAAAAAGGTTGTTTCAATTCACATTCCCTCAGTGGTGTGTGTGACATATCTGTTTTCCTACACTAATACCAAAATTTCAAAAGGCTTTGGTCACTCTCATAGTATTAAGAGGGTATCAATTTTTGTAATTTTCATTTTCTTGTAATCTGCATTTTAAAATAACACAGTTTCTTTAAAAATATGCATTATTTCTTGAGCGAGGAAAAATAAGTCATATAAGCTTGTTCCTTGGTGGTGAAATGGAATTTGTTTATGCCAAATGTGAGATATAGCATTGTGGCGTCTCTGAATAAGTAAAATACAATCTGGGAAGACTTAGCAGAGTACATGTTACATAATGGGTCGTTAGTAAAAATCTTACCTTTCGTACCTTTATTTCTCTTTTCCAGTTAATTGATATTCTCTCTTTGGTCTACTTTGTTCTTTTACTTTGTTCTCTTGGTTGTACTTCTGAGGTAACAGAATAAATGATCGCTTTAGAGAGAAGTTTGTGTGAAAGTTTTCTGCCTTAGATTTGAGGAGACCAGAGTTGTTTTCCATAGTAAAATCTTTCATTTTATATTTTAGTAGCATATGTTCTAGATTTTCATTTGTATCTTATGGAAAATATCTGTAAGATTCATGAGAATGATTTATGGGAGAGTCTTGGGTCAGCAGGCTGACTGCAGATCTAGGCAAGAGTTGAAATGTTAGTTATAATCAGAGCCTTTCATAAATGTTGTACATCCTCAAGACTGTATATTCAGTAGAAGCACAAATATCTATATTTTTTAATGGAGGGTCCTTTATCTTATTTCAGGATTTACTGTACAGATACAATAACCAAGACAGTGTGGTATTGGCAAATGGGTGGATTCACAGATTAGTGGAACGGAATAGAAGGCCAAGAAACAGACCCACACATACATATCACAGTCAGTTGATCTTCCATAAAGTAGCAAAAGCATTTCAGTAGAATAAAGGCAGTCTTTTTAACAAATGATGCTGAAAAATTAGATATCCATATACAAAAAATATAAACCTAGACCAACATTTTGCACAAATTACAAAATTTAATTCCAAATGTGTCATAGGCCTCAATGTGAAACTGGAAAAAGTCATATGACCTTGAATTATTCAAATTTTTTAAAATATTAATTTGTTTATTTTGAAGGCAGAGTTACAGAGAGAGAGGGGGACAGACAAAGAGAGATATTCCATCTGCTGGTTCTCTCCCTAAATGACCACTATTATTAGGGGTGGGCAAGGCTGAAGACCGGAGCCAGGAACTTCATCTGGGTCTCCCACATGCATGGAGGGAGCTGGATTGGAAGTGGAACAGCTAGGACTTGAGTGGGTGTAGTAGGGTGCTGGCATCACAGATAGCAACTTAACCCGTTTTACCACAATGCTGGCCCCAAAAAGATTTCTTTTCAAATGATGAAAAAACATATATACTAAAAGTTAACCATCTGGATGGACTCAGTTTAAGTGATCATCCTCTTGTTGGACATCCAAAGCATCATAAGCAGGAACCAGTCAAACTTATGCCTTTGTTCTCTCCTTCAGGCCTGATCCAAGATACTCATTTGGCCACATATAAATCAGTGTTTCTTCACAGCCCATTTGATTGGGTGCTTGTTGGCCTTCTCATCCACAATGAATTTGAGTGTGTTGGTGTCTTCTGTCTTCTTCCAGGCCAACTCAGTGTTCAGGGTGAACTTGATGATGGTATAGTGGTTAAGCTTGTTTCTCCTTGGGATTGCTCTTCTACAAATATTTTATGCTAAAGACTAGGAGAAACTATTTGTAAAACTCATCTGACAAAAGGCTGATAATCAAAAGGAATCTCAAAATTATAAAAAAAGAATTGAAAAATAATCAAAAACTTTACCGTTCAGTTCACCAAGGAAAATAAATAAAGGTATTGCAAATAGACACATGAAAAGATGCTTAGCATCCTATCATTATCAGAGACCTAACTGTGTCCTATTAGAATAACTTAAAATGGAGGGGCCTGCGCTGTGGCATAGTGGGTAGAGCCACCTCCTGCAGTTCCAGCATCTCATGGGCGCCGATTTGCCTCCTGGCTGCTCCACTTCCGATCCAGCTCTCTGCTATGGCCTGGGGAAGCAGTAGAAAATGGCCCAAGTCCTTGGGCCCCTGCACCCACATGGGAAGCTCCTGGCTCCTGGCTCCTGGCTCCTGGCTTTGGATCGGGGCAGCTGTGGCCATGGCAGCCAGTTGGGGAGTGAACCAGCAGATGGAAGACCTTTCTCTCTTTTTCTCTCTGTCTGCCTCTCCTTTTATCTCTGTATAATTCTGACTTTATTTCTTTTTCTTTTTTTTTTTTTTAAGATTTATTTTATTTATTTTGAAGAGAGTTACAGAGAGAGATAGAGACAGAGAGAGAGGTCTTCCATCCGCTGGTTGACTGCCCAGATGGCTGCAATGGCCAGAGCTGTACTGATCAAGAGCCAGGAGCTTCTTTTGGGTCTCCTTCAGAGGTGCAGGGGCCGAAGGAGTTGGGCCTTCTTCTACTGCTATCCCAGGCCAGGCCATAGTAGAGAGCTGGATTGGAAGAGGAGCAGCTGGGACTCAAACTGGCGCCCATATGGGATGCCGGCGCTTCAGGCCAGGGCGTTAACCTGCTGCGCCACAGAGCCGGCCCCTCTGACTTTCAAATAAATAAATAATTTTTTTTTTTTTAATTTGACAGGCAGAGTGGACAGTGAAAGAGAGACAGAGAAAGGTCTTCCTTTTGCCGTTGGTTCACCCTCCAATGGCTGTCGCAGCCAGCGCACTGCGGCCGGCGCACTGCGCTGATCCAATGGCAGGAGCCAGGTGCTTCTCCTGGTTTCTCATGGGGTGCAGGGCCCAAGCACTTGGGCCATCCTCCACTGCACTCCCTGGCCACAGCAGAGAGCTGGCCTGGAAGAGGGGTAACCGGGACAGAATCCGGCGCCCCGACCGGGACTAGAACCCGGTGTGCTGGTGCCACAAGGTGAAGAATTAGCCTAGTGAACCGCGGTGCTGGCAATAAATAAATCTTTAAAAAAAAAAAAAAAAAAAAAAAACTGTCGCTCCCCCTCTTCATGGAGGAACGACACAAAACCCTGCCTAGGCTTCATATCCGAGTCACGGCACCATTATGTCGCTCCCCCTCTTCGTGGAGGAACGACACAGGACCCTGCGCTGTTCTTTTGTCTGCTCGGCCCTCCCCGGGTTTGCTGCTGGTTCTTCCCGGGTTGGCTACTGTCCCTTCCACCTCCGTGGAAGGGCAGTTCCCCCTGCCACATTCCCCACTTCCGCGGGAGAGCGGCACACCGCCGGCCGGCTCTCTCGGGGGCTGCACAGGTGTTCCCCTTAGGTGTTCCCCTTAGGTGTTCCCCTTAGATGTTCCTGGTGCATGCCGTCTCTCTCCTCCTTTATAGTCCTCCTCCGCCAATCCTAACTCGGCTGCCCACACGCCGAGTACGCTGCTCTCCTCCAATCAGGAGCAGGTCCTGCAGCTTGTCAAGTTGGTGAGAGGCAGCTGTGTAGAAGCTGTTGCCTCCTCTCCCAGCGCCATATTGTGGGAAAGCAGATGCATAGAATAAGTCTTAATTCCAGTAACAGTCTAGTCCGAGTTGCTCCCAGTTGCTCCCCACAAAAAACACCTTAGAATGGAAAGAAATCCCATGCTTCAAGAAGTGTTGTTGGTGATCTGCATGTGATGCTCACATCTAGGAGCGCTGTGGGTACCCTGAATTTCCTGTGTGGGAGTAGTTTGAAATGGCTTTGATTTGAATAAAGATGCTAAACGCTAAACCTGTGGTGCTTAATTATGGCCTTATTGAACTTCATGGTAATCTCTGACAATTTCCTGAACAAAAAAGACATAAGCTTGCTTTTAGGAAGGGTTCTCTTGTACTGTGGAACATAATAGAGCTTGGGCAATGTGGGAATTAATGAGTATGTTTTGGTTCTGAGTTTCCTTTTTTTTTTTTTTAAAGCAATTAGTTGATTTGAAAGTCGTGAAGGGAGGAAGGGAGAGAGAGATATCTTCCATCTGATGTGGGCAATAAGGATATTAATTTCCAGTCCAGGTTCTTGTCCTCCACGGAGATAAAAATTCTAAGAGGAGACTTAGTAACATGTGCAAATAGGAACAGGATTTACTTAACAGTGAATGAATAAACATGCATTCCTGCACAAGTGAGGGCTGCCCATGAAAGAGAGAGAAAACGAAAGTGATGCTTCTAAAAATGTGGTCTGTGGCAAAAAGAGACTCCTCCCCAGCTTTCAGCCGCTTTTATGAGTTAGGGGATATTACCTTAATCACTACAAATGGAGTAGGGTTGTGTGAGGCACCCTGGTTCCCAATGAGACAGGTATATCCTAGGAAGGTAGGAGTAGCAATCCAACAGTTAGAGAGTTACATTGCAAGGCTGTAAGAACTCCAACTCACCTAAACTTTTGCGGACTACCTGGTTATATCATATTACATCCAGTGGTTCACCCTCCACCTGGGATTCCATTTTGGTCTGTCATATGGGTGGCTTGGGCCCAAGCAATCAGGCCATAATTTGCTGCTTTCCCCCATGCAATAAGCAGGGAGCTGGATTGGTCATGGGGCATGTGGGACTCAACCAGCACTCATTTGGGATGCTGGCTCAGAAGCGGTGACTTAGCTGCTGCATCACTACTCTGGCCTCTTGGGTTACCTTTTATTGGATATTTTAATTCTGAATAGTTTTCTATGCTCTAAGCTATGAAGAGCAACAGAAATTCAACTAGGAAGGTGATACTTGAATATGTTTTTGTTTTTCTTTCACGATAGGTAATTATTCTTTGTAATTGCTGCAGGTTCTCCATCTTCTAAGCCAACAGTGCTAGCCAACGGTGATCATGGAATAGAAGGGAATGATACTACAGGTAAGTGGTGCCCAGGATTCCCCAGATATGTGGGTGAAATATTCACAGCAAATACCTTAACAACCTCTTTTGAGAGGATTGTTAGTGGAAGGACTTGAGTTATTCCTGAGAGTATTGATCTGCCATATAAATCTCCGATGGTAGAAGGGAAGAATGAACTTCTTGTGATAATCCTTCAATATTTGTTGCTGTACCACACAGAAGATGAGCCGCCTTAAAAACACTATTAGAAGAGGATACTTCAAAGAGTTCATGGAAAATGGAAGTAAAAGATTTATTTTGGTGCAAGAAAATTTTGATATTCATGCATAGTTCTGTGCATTTCCATGAATTTTTTGAAGTACCCCTATAGGTACAGATTAATCATCATCCAAGAATGGGAGACATTGGCTACTATAACTCTAAGACAGCTCTCTACCCTCAGTGCACACAGGCTCAGTGTGAGGAAGCCTGTGAGCAATATTTCTTTAAATTTTCTTTTGCCCTTAGTTTGTTTTTCCTTTATCTTTCTCTTAACTTTTGGTTTTGAAATTTATAGCTTTTATCTCCTAGCCCCTTTCTGTGGTTTCTCACCTCATAACCAGCACCAATCCCCCCCACCCCACTACCCATCTTTGAGGGAGCGAAATTCTGTACGCAGTAGCAGGAGTTCATAGGGATGTACTACAGAAGCCTCATTAGAATGTAGCCTGTGTGACAATCATGTGTTTTCTTTTTAAAAATGACTGCACTTGCACTTAACCTGCAGTTGTAAGCACACTACCACTGTTGACCCAAATGAGTTGACTTCTAATGATCAAGCATGTTGTTCTTTGCAGCAGAGCGTGCTCTTAACTGGGGCATAGCATTTGATTCACAGAAGTGCAGTGTCTTTGGGTTTCTCTTCATGTCTACATATCTCAGCCATGAAAAGCCATTCTGTGATCTTCCACAGAATATCTCAGTTCTAAGGCTTCCATAAATCATTGTATTAGCAATAGCAGCTATTCCAGGATTTACTGCTTATTCTATGACCTTAGGAAATGTTGAGTATGTCTTCATACCTCAGATTTGTTGATGACTAGGTTCTGTTTGTTGTAATAGTTTTACCCAGTGACATTAACATCCTTATTAGCAACTCAAAAATTAGATACCCTTTATTTTTTTATTTTTATTTTTATTTTATTTTTTTATTTGACAGGTGGAGTTATAGACAGTGAGAGAGAGAGAGACAGAGAGAAAGGTGCTCCTTCCATTGGTTCACTCCTCAAATGGCCGCTACAGCCGGCACTGCGCCAATCCGAAGCCAGGAGCCAAGTGCTTCCTCCTGGTCTCCCATGCGGGTGCAGGGACCCAAGCACTTGGGCCATCCTCCACTGCTCTCCTGGGCCACAGCAGAGAGCTGGACTGGAAGGGGAGCAACCGGTACTAGAACCCGGTGCCCATGTGGGATGCCGGTGCCGCAGGCAGAGGATTAACCAAGTGAGCCACGGTGCTGGTCCCTACCCTTTACTTTAAAAACTAGAAACAACCAGAAGTGCTACCTTGTCTTCCACTTTGAGCTGATTTTTTTTTTTTTTTTGAATTAGCAGACCTTTTTTTTTTTTTTTTTTAAAGATTTATTTATTTATTTGAAAGAGTTACGCAGAGAGAGAGGGCTTCCAACCGATGGTTCACTCCCCAGATGGCCGCAATGGCCTGGGCAATCCGAAGCCAGAAGCCAGGAGCTTCTTCTTGGTCCCCGACATGGGTACAGGGGTCCAAGGACTTAGGCCATCTTCTGCTGCTTTCCCGGGCCATAGCAGAGAGCTGAACAGGACGTGGAACAGCCAGGTCTCAAACCGGCACCCATGTGGGATGCTGGCGCTTCAGGCCAGGGCATTAATCTGTTGCACTGCAGCACCGGCCCCTGAGCTGATATTTTATATTTCTTTGATAATCTTATTTGTGTGTAGCATTGTCCATATAGTGTCTACCCTGAACACAAAATTGTATGATTTGATTTTAAAAAATTATGCAGGCCGGCGCCGTGGCTCAATAGGCTAATTCTCCGCCTAGCGGCGCTGGCACACTAGGTTCTAGTCCCGGTCGGGGCGCTGGGTTCTGTCCCAGTTGCCCCTCTTCCAGGCCAGCTCTCTGCTATGGCCTGGGAGTGCCATGGATGATGGCCCAAGTGCTTGGGCCCTGCACCCCATGAGAGACCAGGAGAAGCACCTGGCTCCTGCCTTCAGATCAGCGCGGTGCGCTGGCCTCAACACACCGGCCACGGAGGCCATTGGAGGGTGAACCAACGGCAAATGGAAGACCTTTCTCTCTGTCTCTCTCTCTCACTGTCCACTCTGCCTGTAAAAAAAAAAAAAAGCAAATGTCCCCTTGATTAAAGAAGAGGCTTGAATATAAACTTTTTTAAAAAAGATCATTTATTTATTTGAAAGAATTACACATAGAGGCAGAGAGAGAGAGAGAGAAGGTCTTCCATCTGTTGGTTTACTCCCTAGTTGGCCACTATGGCTGGAGCTACGCCAGTCGAAGCCATGAGCTTCTTCTGGGTCTCCCACATGAGTACAGGGCCCAAGGACTTGGGCCATCTTCTACTGCTTTTCCAGGCCATAGCAGAGAGCTGGATCTGAGGTAGAGCAGCTGGGACTCGAACCAGTGCTCATATGGGATGCTGGCACTGCAGGAGATTGGTTTACCTGCTGTGACACAGTTCCAGCCCCGGCTGTAAACTAATTTAAATGAGTAAATTCAGCTTTCTTTAACCAAAAGACAATATCAAGGGAAGGGCATGTTGGAAGAGATCAATTTGATTAGCTGTTTTTTTGAAAGAGTGGATATGGAAGGAAGAGTCAATAGGCTCTGAACATAAAGAAAAAGACCACAAAATGGAAATGCTAATTTTGTAATGTATTCAGTATACTTTATACACATGTTGAAATATTGCACTATGCCACTTAAAAATGTGGGAATAATACATGTGAAAGAAAGAGAGAGAGAGAGAAAGAGAAAGAAAGAGAAAAACGAAAGGAAGAAAGAAACTGGATGCCATTTTCATCCTGGAAGGAAACAACTATCAATACTACCATCAAGACTGAGCAGAAGAGGCTCAAACTCTGTGTAGCAGTTATTCTTCACTGCCAGTTCTTAATAGTGCAGAAAAAAGAAGGGGAAAATATGCAGCTTGGTCCTTACTTCTCAAGACTTTTACTTCTCTTGTGACAGAAAAAAATCACTGTTTATGTACTGCCCAGGGGCTTTATGAGAGTGGGTCTAGAAAGACCCCTCTTAGGTGTCCCCCCCCCCTTTTTTTTTTTTGACAGAGTGGACAGTGAGAGAGAGAGACAGAGACAAAGGACTTCCTTTGCCGTTGGTTCACCCTCCAATGGCCACCGTGGCCGGTGCACTGCGGCTGGCACACCACGCTGATCCGATGGCAGGAGCCAGGTACTTATCCTGGTCTCCCATGGGGTGCAGGGCCCAAGGACTTGGGCCATCCTCCACTGCACTCCCTGGCCACAGCAGAGAGCTGGCCTGGAAGAGGGGCAACCGGGACAGAATCCGGCGCCCCGACCGGGACTAGAACCCGGTGTGCCGGCGCCGCCAGGCAGAGGATTTAGCCTAGTGAGCTGCGGTGCCGGCCCTCTTAGGTGTCCCTTAGGTAGAATCTAGTTTTTGTACCTGGGTTCTTTGAGTTTTGAATGTTGACCTCTTAATTTCATTAAAGCAGGTATTTTTACTGAAAATGTGCATGATTCATTGGGGGAGGAAATTAGAAGGGGTGAAATGTGCATGTTTTTGAAGCATGTTGTGACTTCATTCTAATTTGGCCCTCATTAACTGGCCTGGGTAGCTCAGTGCCATTTTGAAAATTCCTGTTGCTATTTCCTTCCAAATGTTGTCTATAGTCCTGAAAGCATATAAAGCATTTAAGAGCATCTTGCTATGTTGAACTTGCTGTTTACTAATGACCTGTGCTTTTTTTTGCCCTTTCTTTCCCCTCCTACTTCCTCCTCCCTTTCTATTTTTCTCCTCCTAGAAGCCTAGAGTGTGTCTCAACACTGGGGCTGCTGCCAACACCAGACCAATGATCTTTCCTAAGCACCGTTACACTTCTAAAACCTTCAGCATTTTGCAGAGCTTTGCTTTTCCTTCCTGGACACGATATAGAAGAAGCTGAGGGTAGTTCTTCGGGGCCTATTTCTGCCGATTCCTGAGCAAACCACCTGCTTCTTCTTGTGTCTGCAGGGCTTGATGGAACCTCCTTTCCCTTTGTGAGCACAGAATGCAACATGAATTCTTTTTAATTTTAATATTTTTATAAAGGTCCTCTAATGTCTTTTATTTCTTGCTCTCAAAATTCATTTAATCATCTAATTCGATCTCATTTTTTCCCTTTAATTTAAGCATTTTTAGTTGGCCTTTTTTCACTTGGTTTTTGAATCTTCAGTGTAAATCAACACCACATGAGAACGTGTGCTTTCATAAAGGGGTCGAGGCCACCAGTACTGTAGTGAATCTCCTTTCCTTCTCCTTCTTCTTTCCCCTCTGCGAGCTTGCTTTTAGGGAAGATTAATCTTCCAGGCTACCTCTGTTTCGCTCTACCTTACTAAAATTAGAATCATGATCGCTAATTTAGAGTAACTCTGATTAAACTTGGAAAAGTGTTTCTCCAAATTAAATCATCCTATGTTATTTGCAAATTTGGCCAAAATTATTTTTGATATGAAATTATTATCTCTTTGTCTACTCTTAGGTTCTCCTGAAAATCTTGATTTTAATACCACAGTAGCTGATTATGAATTACCAAAATAAGTGATAGAAAATTAAAGAAAATGCAACTAAGCTATAATGTTCTTGAATCCTGTAGTAGAATATTAGAATGTTCATACACATGAAAAAAATATTTTCTGTAACAACACCAAAGTGAAAGAAAGTTACAACACATTTAGGAACCATAACCATTTTAACTGGTGACATGATTATCTGATTGGGCTTGAACTTTAATCAGGATTAGTATCTCT